CCCCTGAGATGTGTGCAAACCTTGTGGCCAACTACAAGAAACGTCTGACCTCTGTGATTGCCAACAAAGGTTTTGCCACCAAGTACTAAAGCACATTTTGCAAAGGGATCAAATACTTATTTCACTCATGAAAATGCAAATTACTATATAAGTTTTTTTGTAATGCATTTTTCTGGATTTTTTTGTTATTGTTGTGTCTCTCACTGTTCAAATAAACCTACCATTGAAATTGTAGACTGATCATTTCTTTGTTAGTGGGCAAATTTACAAAATCAGCTGGGGTTCAAATAATTTTTTCCCTGACTGTATGTACACATGTATAACAATTACTTATCATTCCAAGTGTGCAAATATAATTGTGACTGTGAAGTCCCTTCATATTGTATAACTACAGTGACTGAGGAGTGAAAACCGGGTAATATAGTGAGTAACCTAATCAAGTGCAGCTGGTGATAAGGGAGTGAGGAACAGGTGAACGTGATTAGTGTTAATGGGCAAGAGACAGTAGGAAAGGTGAGGGAGGCCAGAGCGGCCGAGCAAACCTGACAGATCAAAAATATCATTTGTCCAATCCTTTGTCTTTTTGACTACACTTTGTGTTTAGTGCTAATTGACAAATGCTAGCATGCTGGCACTCAAAACTAGGTGGGTGAATACTGTATGGTAAACATTATACATGCTAAACATCTGTAACAGTTCAGGTATAAAACACACCAGGCAAAGGCAGGAAAGCAAGTTGGCTGATAATGCTAAACTGTTTATTAAGCACGAATAACAGACAAGGCTTACTTTTATATTCAAGCTGACAAAACTAAACAGGAAGAGCCGGAGGCAGAGTCTAAGTCCAAAGTGGAGATCAAAATCATACCAACACCCAAACAAGCAGTAAATCCAAAAGGGACTGGCAAAAGGAAAAGTCCAAGATGGGCAAGGTTTATAAAGAGAAAGATAAATCACACAGAGGGGAAATCCAAACTAACAGGTTCACAGGAAAACAGCAACAAACATATGGCAAGAATGTCGAGGCTAACAAATACAGTGGAACCAGACAGGCTTATATACTGAGTGCATGTTGCTTAATTCTAGCAGCTTGTCAGAGTTCTACACAGTGTTAGTATCCTGTAACTGTAGGTGGTAATCTTCTGAAGCATCCTCTAACCAAGTGTTATATTGCTGTGTAAATAAAGATGACTCAGTTTAACAAGAAATGTGGCCCAATGGTTTTGAGAATTAACATCACTGTGCATTGTGTTTGCTTTCTGCTTTAGGACAAGACATTTACCTGTACCCTCTTCATGCCATTTGAAGACTTTGAGAAGATCACCACAGGAGATGGAGTCATCCAGTTTTTCCAGAAATACTTTCCTGACACCATACCACTAATAGGAATGTAAGTGACTTTATCACCTTCACCCCCTTCACCATCTGTCATCTGTTTCGCTTTTTCTCCCCCAAAGCCTTTATCCTTTCATGCCATCCTCAAAAATGTCTCATTATCCCATGGACTCCAGCTGTATTCACAGCCATGATCTGTGAAATGTGAAATTGCAGGCATACAGTTACTGGGTTCTGTGTGGTGAGCTTTTGATTTAAGGTGAACTGAACAACTGAATGTATGTGTTCCTTGCTCTGTATGGCTATTTAACATTACCAGGGCAGAGAAAGCACTGTTGTTTTAGTTTATTCATATGAGACAGATGCTTTGTAGCAAACAAAAATTCATGTTATTTATTTAAAAAAATGCAACTGTCAGAATTTGTTTGTAAGTGTTTTATGTTCATTTTCCTTGTAGTGATGCTCTAAAGAGAGATTATCTCCATTTGCCTGCACAGGCCATGGTGTCTGTAAAGTGCTCCCCATATCACATTGGCAATAAGTGTGTCCTTATGGGTGATGCAGCCCATGCAGTGGTGCCTTTCTATGGGCAGGGGATGAATGCTGTAAGTAACACTAAATTAAGGCATTGAACTGGCAGAAAAGAATTTAAAGGAAAACTCTTTCATCCAATCACATTTTATAGGGCTTCGAAGACTGCATTGTCTTTGACGAACTAATGGATCAGTTCAGTGAAGATTTCAGTAAGTCCTAAATAGACAAAGATTTAAGGAGGCAGAGACTGAAATGATAGTTCAAGAGAAAATCTTGTTTTTGTGTGTGTGTGTGTATCCATGCAGGTGCTGTACTGCCTGAATATACCAGAGTACGAGTTCCAGATGACCACGCAATTTCAGACCTGGCCATGTACAACTATGTTGAAGTAATAAATATTTATTTAATATGATTAATTTAACTGGATGCTTTAAATTGCATGTCTTTATGCAACTTTATGCAACATTAAAGTTGGGTTAATGTGTCTATTAGGGTTTGATTAAAACTAGTACTTTACAGGTATTTAAACAAAAGGAGTATGCTGTAATAAAAGATGCATTGAGGTCTTTCAAGTAGCAATGCTGTAATACATTGTCTCATACAAGTAAAACACATAGCTATAATTGATATTTTTATAACAACAAATCAAATAACTATGTGTCAAACAAAAGGTTTTGCTTATAGTGACCATCCCATGGAGAATTATCACTAAATGCTGCAGTTCCACTGCATGATGTTTTAGCATCTTTCAGCCTATAGTTTTGGTTTTTTCTATTCCGTAATTCTGTTTTGGTTGCTGATTGTAGCACAATATGGAACTGTTACGTCCTCAGCACTGAGCAGCGGACAAATAAAATTAGCAACTAGCTGGTGAACACAGCACAGCATGTAGCAGGCAAAGAACCAGATATTTTTCTCAGTTAGCAAAATCAAAAAAGTGCTAAAATAATGGTTAGTGTCTGACTTACATTGATCAGGTCGGCAGAAAATTGATTTTAAATAAACGTTAATGTTGGTGTGTGTCTGCCATAGGACTGCTCTCCCAAGTTTTGGCATATTTCACTATCTGTGTTGTGTATGGAGAAAAAATAGATAAGTTCAGTATTTTCATATTAAATACAATTAAGTGTAAGTATAACGTAGCATAAACCATAAATACATAAGTAAACTAAACTCTCTCTAACATTGCAGCTCATTTTGGCAATATTAATTAGCAACAATCCAACAATCACCAGACATGCTGCTTTATTGTTAATTATTTCACATATATGGCTGTAAGATTTCCAACACTAACTGCTGTAAAGATACAGTATGATTTATTGAGAGTGATGCAGTCTTGTCCACATAAACAGTTATTCACTGTGAACGAGCTGAGAAACTCAAAGACAAAAACAATGACACTTAAAGAATGATTTTTATCATTAAGTGTTACTGCCTATTTAAATTGATTTCCACTCTAACTGATAAATAATACATACATGAGATATGGAAAAGCCATTCACAGTAAGAAAGTCACCTCAGCTTCTGGGTTATCATATGGTTCACTTCACTAACTCAGTGTTTTGTTTTGTAGATGCGAGCACATGTCAACTCCAGATGGTTCCTTTTCAGAAAACATGTTGATAACTTCCTCCACTTCCTCATGCCAAAGACAATAATTCCACTTTATACAATGGTGAGTGTCCTAATTAACTAAATAACAACCGTCCCATCACTTTATCTACCACAAAAATCTACATCATCTTTTGACCTTCTGTCTCCAGATCACTTTCAGTAGGACTAGATACCATGAAGCTGTGAAGCAGTGGCATTGGCAAAACAAAGTAAGACCCTTTGAAAAAAATATTTTCTCCTTAAACTCTTTAATCTTTTTTTCCTACATACGCTTTAGTTTTTGAGGCGTTTTCATGCTTTTGAACATCTTATTATTGTAATTTGAAGTCAGCTCAGAGCATGAAAGGCTCATGTGATTCTCACTGGGTAAAAAACAAAACTGCTCTAGTAATAATGTGACAGTGAAAACAGACAAATAAAGGTCAGCTGAAGACAGGGCATGATGAAGATTACAGTAAGATCACTGAGCTACTGTAGGTGAAGAGTCTTTGGTCCAGACTGAACTGTTTCAGCTGACAAAAAAAAAATTCAACCTAATTAAAACCCTTTTTAAATGCATTTTTCACAGGTGATAAATCGTGGCTTGGTGTTGAGCACAACAGGAGCTGTTTTGGGAGGTTCCTACCTGCTCATTAAAAATCCTCCCAATATCAACAAGCTCATCATCAATGCAGAGAAAATGTGGAAGAGCCTGGTGACCCTCAGTACCTCCTGAGCACTGGCAGAGCCTCTGATATGACACACAAGAACCAAGACTGGAGCGTTTAGCACTAGAATGAACAGGGGGAGTCTACATTTTAACCAGAGCTTGACTGAAACCTACAATCTACAATGAAGGCTTGTCCAGGCAAATTATTAAACTGATATAATGATTGTCATATCTTAATATATGTCATAATATGATTTTAAAACATTTCATCAGTGTTTAACTGATGGTGGTTTGACTGAAGGACCCCAACAGTGGATTCTCTCAGTTGTTATAATTGATTATTTCATATCATCTTCATCATATGTACAATTTTTAATGTGAAACCAAAATATCACCATTAAACACATAGGCTCACAGACAGGGTCCTTGGTAGATGTGTATGAGCTGATGTCGATGCTTCTAAAGGAGTTGCAAATAAGTGTTCCTTCAGTTCATAGATGACATTTTTAATTTGTCTTTGGCTTCATTCCTGTCAGTAATATATAGTTTATGCTAAATGGGGGCCATTTTGTGACACTATCATTTGCTTTCTTGCCAAGAGTTAGATGAGAAGATCAGTACCACTGTCACATCTAGCAGTTTGCTTAGCCTAAATACAGGAGGAAAGGGGAAATGGTTAATCTGGCTCTAAAAAAAAAAAAAAAAGTTTAATTCATGCAAAAATCTATTTGTAAAAACATGGTTTTGAAAAGGGGATTGCTTGTTTCTTGTCCTGGTGCAGGGGACAAAACAATCTGCAAAACTGCACTGTTACAGCTTAACACAGATTAAACAAACAACATATACAATACATGTGTTCAGAAATTTAGGATAGAGCTTCTGTGTACCTCTGATTCCAGGCTTTTGTTAAGATGCAGCTTAGCATAAAGGCTGGCAGTAGCTGGATGTAGCTTAATATTTAACATAGTCTACAGAAAAGACAGTAATATAAATCCTCTCATCTAACTCTTTGTAGGAAAGCAAACAAACATATTTCTCAAACTACTTTTTTAATTAATCAGTATGAAAACAAAGACCACTCAGACACAATCTTCCCTGAATTATCTCCTATGGAAACCCATTCATCAAGTCCTATTCATACTGTAGCTCACAGCCCAGGAGGTTATGGAGTGTCTCACTGGAGCATTCTGAGGTCCCAGTCTTATCTCCTCTTGTCTGTGTGGGTAAGGTACAAATGAGGTAAAGTACATAACCCAGGTAGCTTAAAATAGGGTCTCTTTATTGAACTGATACACAGTAATGTCAGTTTCTAAATACTCAGTCCTACAATCAGCTGATTCACATCAGCTGCGAGCTCCGCTGGGAGTGTGTCTGTAGAGAGAGGGAGAGAAGAGCGAGAGAGTCAGGTGGCGACCAGCAAACTTGACATTGCCATCTACTTTTGCAACATCTGTGGAGATAGGCTTGAAGTACTACAACTATATGCCAAATTCAGTGTTAAAGCAAATGATATACCAAGATGAATGGTATTGGGAGTGTTAAGATATGATCCCCAAAGGCAACAATACAAGACTTTGCTTGCTGATAGCAATTTTTAAGGTATTTGTGGCTTTAACATTTGTTCTGTATCTTATTTTTGACCTTTATAATTTTAGAAAAATCCTTCTCTATGTCCTGCAAGGTGTTGTAGTGCAGCAGTAGGAATTTATAGCTTATAGTACTTCTCCTTGAACTGTCACTTGGCCCCACTAATTGTCCCACAACTCTGTGTGAGCCTTTGACTTATGCTGTTGAACCAGTGACTCCAGTATCACCTCTGTACAGCTGAATCGCCAGCAGAGGCAAATCAATCTGGCTCTGACAGATGATCTTATCTTCTCCTGCAGTTCTTCTGACAAGCTGGCGAAAGACTGTTAAAGGGGCTGTTTCAGTTTTTATAGTGGACTGGAACATTGCTGTTTGGTTAAGCACCTTTACCCACTTCCCTGCTTACAATATCTCATCTCTTCATCATTTTATCCAGCAGCAGAATATCCTCTGGCATAAGATTAAAACACAGAGAAGATAAAAAATCAAATGAAGGAGCAGTGTGCACGATGCAGTATGAATGTTATATCTCTGTCAGAAACATTTATCTTTATGATAAAATCCCAGCTCAACTGGAAAACACAGCATTTTATCTTGAAATAAAATTACATAGCTGTAATATTTATCATTTCTTTTTCTTTGATGTCTGAAAGGCTCTGACTTTCAGCATGAATACCAATGGAAGGTTGTCAGTGCTGGCACAGTTCAAAAGAAAGCTCTTTAGCCTGATCTTAATTTTCACACTCTTCTTTCACTTGCTTTGAATCAGACATTTTTTCTGCCCAGCTGTGAATATGGTCTCAGTAAAATGTTTTTAAAGTAATACATCACAAGTGCTTTTTGTGCCTTCTCTGTTGTTCTAACCAAATGCCTTTTCCTAATGGAGTTCCTGCTAAGTATGTTTTGATTAGTGAGAGCTTGTGGCTCAACATATTGTTACTATAAATGTACTGCTTGTTTTTCTCAAGACCACTAAAATCCGGTGGGGCATTATATGAAACTTTGTAGTATTACATGTATTATTATATGTATTACACTTGTTTAATTTCCACAGTCTCCTGAAAAAAATGATACTTAATTCATTGCAGAAAAAATGTATGTATTAAATTGCTCAGACCATGGCTCACTCCCAGGAGTGTTCCGTTCTCGGTGACTCCTGAGGTTGGGTGTGTCACATCTGCAGCTGGCACCTCTGCCCTCACAGCTGCTCCACTTAAGCCAGGTGCTGGTGTGTTCTTATTGCCAGATCATTTTATGTTCCTCAATGAACAGCATCCTGGCTCCTCGTTTGACTGCTCAGAATATTAACCAGCATGTTTGAGTACTAATTCCATGTTTGCCTGGTTGTTGAACTCACCATCCTCTTTACAAGCTACTAGCTAGCTCTCTGTGAGTACTACGTCCATGTCTACCCGCCTTGTGAGCTCACCCTCTTCCCTGCAAGCTAGTCTGCCTCTCCTCAACGTCCACCTCATTTTTCCTGGCCCCTGTTTTCCATCTACCTCCTCATCTCTCCAGACCATCTGCCCTACAATGCCTCTCTTCAGCATCCATCCCATCTTTCCTGGCCCCTGCTCTCTGTCTGCCTCCTCATCTCTCCAGACCACCTGCTCTATGCTTCATCACCTCAGTGTCCCCCCATCTCTCCTGGCCCCCTGCTCATCAGCTGCCATGTCCTCCCTGCCTCAACCAGCACGCTGGCACAACCGTCATCAGATTCAAAAACAGTTTAAAGGTATGACAAGTAAGAATAGTGTGAAAAAGATTCTGATACTTGAGGGGTTGCTAATTGGTCTATTTCATTCCATTTAACATGCATAAATAAACTGGCCGGTAACACCCAATCCCTGCCAGATTGTCAGGTTTTTCTTGCTAGTTGTGGACTTGTGTCTTTCCTTCTGTCTGTTATCAGTTTTGTTTTTGACCCTAAACCTGTGCCAGCTTGTTCGTCTGCTGGGTTGGCTGTAAGCCTTGGTTTGTTGTTATTAAACCACTTTACTGCACCTGCCTGCCTACTGTGTGTGTTTGGATGTGTGTTCTCCTTCCTATTGCCTTGTTCACCATATGTGACACTAGACTGTATTATTGACAGTTAATGTGTTCTGACATCACAGTTTGCTTGTCTACTTCACTACATGTTCTTCTTGCTAAGCTCCTGTCCACTGTTCTGCTTTTAGCACTCAGCTGGCAGGCTGCTCACGGCACCTCTGGCAGCAAATACATTTCTGTCACATAATATATCTAAGGTGTCTGAATCACCCTCAGTGCCTGAGCCTTTTGGATAGTACAGTCCAGGCCCAAATGTATAAAGACACCAGTGAATATACTGTAATGCATTGCAGCACAATACCACCTTTTGATTACAACCTTCATAATAAACATAGAAATGTATCCATACATTTTTTACAATCTCACCCCAAACTGAAACATTATTCTAAAGCTAGGAATTATGTCAGGGCTGTACAGGTGTACCTAATACATTTTTTGGTGGGTGTGGAATATTTTGCTGGAATGGCATTTTCAAAATTTATGCAATGGAGGTGTTAAGTATAAAACATGATAGCCCAGATTCAGAATGTTTATAAATAAGAGAATAAGACCTAGAATTTCAGTAATGCATTTCATGATGGGTAATGATATACAGTATTGTACTGCCTGGTGATTTATGACACCTGAGTCATCATTTAAGAACTGGGAGTCCTAGATAACTGGTGGGTATAACCTGTTTGTTGCTATGGATACCCAGGTTGATGGATGACCTTGAAGTGATGGGGTTTCAGTGGGCTCTCTCCCTCCTCCTGCCAGCATTTTAAAAAGCCTTTAACTGGATTTAGCCTCATGCTATTCCCTTGTTCCTGTCCTAGAGCAAAGTGGCTCTGCATCCAATGACCTTTGATAAAGCAGCACAGAGAGAATTCACAGATGACACCACAGCTAGCACAGGGTGAAGCCATACAGTGTCAGCATTTAAGTGCTTCAGTGCATCGCTCACAGAAGGTCATGGCTATTCTCAACTGGGGTATGACTGTTTTGCATTAAGGTGTTTAAAATGTGCAATGCTAATGCTGAATATTAAGAATATTACTTTTTTAAAATTGTCCTTTTCTTCTTCTCTTATTGCTAATGAGATATTGATATTTTAGGATGTTCAGTCGTGCAAATCAACAACATTTCAAATTTGGTCCAAGATATGTTTGCACTGTTACAGTAAAGCTATATATGGAAATAATAAAATGGAAATAATGATATTGTTATACTGTTAGTAGTACTAACAGTAGTAGTGCTAACAGTGCTGTTAGTATTGCTTTTTCATAATTAGGCCATAAAATATAATAGAAAATGCACAAAAATTCAATATGGTAAGATATTTCTTCATTAAATCTTCAATCTGATGATGCTCTGAGCTCCTTTCCTCTCATCTCCCCTCCCCTCTCCTCTCTCCATGCATTTATATGCCTCCATAGCATTTCATTAACTGTGTGTCTCCTTGTCCCATAGTCTGTGCTCTGTTTCTCTCCCCGTACCTTTCTGCAGGGATCTCTGGCTCCAGAGCTGTACATTTATGAGCAGTCACTAGCCACATTAACCTGTTCAGTGTTTGGTGTATTATTTATTGTGTGCTCTTCTCTATCCACTCACCGCAACTGGTGGTGGGAGAAGACCGCCCACCAAGAGTCGGGGATTGTGGGAGGTTTCTTCCTCTACAGTAAAAGGGATTATTTCTCCACACTGTTGCCAAGTGCTTGCTCAAGGATTTGTTGGGTTTTCTCTATGCAAATTACCTTGAGTCAGAAACAGAGTGGTCGTTTTCATTCGAGCAGGTCCTGGCTTCTCTGCTCAACGAGCCAGTCATAGTCGCCTTCTTTGAAAGGCCTGTTGATATTCAGACGAAACTGGGACAAGCTAAGGCTGCCCAGCTGAAGCTAAAAACAAATAAGTGAAAGGATACATAAAGGAACTGATACTTTGCTTCTGATTTACACCTAGAGGTCATATTGGAGTTCTTTCTCCATTTGGATAGGGCAGGGAGTGAGGTTACTGTAGAAGTGACATCATATTTTAAAATCTGGGATGCTGCATGTGTGTGTATGTGGCTTGGGTGTTCAGGCACGTGATTAAATAAAATGAGGCGCGGACATTGTAAACACTAACATAAATCTATCGGAGTCCCTGGCTGCAAATCTACTCCCCCAGCAAACCACTGAGGAGTACAAGGCACTAGCAACGACAGACTGATAGAACATTTCCAGCATCTTATTGCACACATTGAAGGACCTCAGCTTCCTCAAAAAATAGAGTCTGCTGCAGGCCTTCTTATACACAGATGTGCTGTTTGTCTTCCAGTTCAGACAGTTGTCGATAGTCACACCCAAGTATTTGTACTCCTGCACCATCTCCACATCCCTCCCCAAAATGGAGAGGGGCTGTGGAGCAGTTCCCTTCCTCCTGAAGTCGATTACCATCTCTTTGGTCTTGTCCAGGTTAAGCAGCAAATGATTCTGTCCAGACCACTCCACAAACTCATCCACCAGCCTCCTGTATTCCCCCTCCTGCCCACCCCTTAAACACCCCACCACCACAGAGTCATCGGAATACTTCTGTAAATGACATGACTCCGAGCTATACTGAAAATCTGAGGTATACGGGGTGAACAAGAAAGGGGAGAGCACAGTACCCTGTGGAGCCCCCACACCACTCACCACCACATCAGACAGAACTTGACCCAACCGTACAAACTGCGGCCTGTCTGTTAGGTAGTCAGTGACCCAAGAAACAGTCGACCCACCCACACCCATCTGCCGCAGCTTCTCTCCCAATAGTGGAGGCTGGATGGTGTTAAAGGCACTGGAGAAATCAAAAAAGGTGACTCTCACTGTGCCCCCATCCCCATCCAGATGTGACAAAACTCGCTGCAGCAGGTAAAGAACAGCGTCATCAACCCCTAAATGTGGCCGGTAGGCAAACTGCAGGGGATCAAGAGACGGTCTCACTTGCGACTCAAGATGGACCAACACCAGCCTCTCCAGCACCTTCATCACATGCGATGTGAGAGCAATTGGACGATAGTCCCCAAGGCCTGATGGTACTGGTTTCTTGGGTACCGGAACCAAACAAGAAGTCTTCCAGAGAAGTGGCACCTTCTCCAGACTTAGGCTCGGGTTGTAGAGGTGTTGGAGAACAGAGGACAGCTGTCTGGCACACACCTTCAGCAACCTGGGGCTAATGCCATCTGGACCTGCCACCTAGCTGTGATTTGGTGCTATACAAATAAAACAGAATTGAATTGAATGAATGAAATGACTCCAAAGAAATGTCCATTGCACATTAATGTTTATGTTGTACTGTACTTGTACTATCATGTTATATAAAATAACACTGTATATTCATTTACAAAGCATGCAAACAGTACATGGTACACTGTCAATGATACTATAATTTTGTTTTTACAAGAGCAGACACAATGGTGGTGGTGCACAAACATACTGTAAACGTACCTGTAGCTGTCCTAAGGCATATGCCTTAATCCACATAGAGATGTTTCAGCAGTACACATGCATTCCTTTCCCATTATTTTATCCACCACCCTCACTGTATCTAACTTTTTCTACCCATGTGTCCTTTTCTGTGTCACTATTGATCAGTGGCTATTTGTATGCAGGGAACTAGCTGACAGTCAGGCACCAAAACACCTGACTTTAATCCCTGTCAGCGAGGTAACATGGCAAGTTGCTGTTGTCAAGTCACCAAGGACTGTGCACTGAACAGCACAACCACACCTCCAGCACTCATGTAACTCCTGTTAAACAAGTTAATGAGTTTTGATTAGATCAATAAGGTGAAGTGAAAATGAACTTAACAGTTAATGATAACAAAGATACAGTATTTAGGTTGTGCGTTTTCTCATCTTCAGTCTTCCCCTGTGCTGTCAAGCTCATCTGTGCTGCATCAAAAACAGTTTTGTATAATACATTTACATATGTATAGGTTGCTTAAAATGTTTGGAATTTGTATATTTTCTCTGATTTGATGCCTTGTCCTGTACAT